TGTGTGTGTCTCTGTGTGTCTCTGTGTGTCTCTGTGTGTCTCTCAGACAGGAGGGAGAGCAGGTAGCCCACTCACATCGATACGTGTGTGTGTGTGTCTCCCCTTGTGTGAGTCTGTGTGTGTCTCCGTGTGTCTCCGTGTGTGTCTGTATGTGTGTGTGAGTCTCCCCTTGTGTGTGTCTGTGTGTTTCAGTGTGTCTTTGTGTGTCTCTCAGACAGGAGGGAGAGCAGGTTGCCCGCTCACATCCACACGGCTGTGTGTGTGTGAGTCTCCCCTTGTGTGTCTGTGTGTGTCACTGTGTGTCTCTGCAGGTAGCCCGCTCACATCGCCACGTGTGTGTGTGTATGAGTCTCCCCTCGTGTGAGTCTGTGTGTCTCCGTGTGAGTCTCTGTGTGTCTCTGTGTGTCTCTGCAGGTAGCCCGCTCACATCCACACGGCTGTGTGTGTCTCCCCTTGTGTGTGTCTCTGTGTGTCTCTGTGTGTCTCTGTGTGTCTCTGTTTCTCTGTGTGTCACTGTGTGTCTCTGTGTGTCTCTGTGTGTCTCTGTTTCTCTGTGTGTCTCTGTGTGTCTCTGTTTCTCTGTGTGTCTCTGTGTGTCTCTGTGTGTCTCTGTTTCTCTGTGTGTCACTGTGTGTCTCTGTGTATCTCTGTTTGTCTCTGTTTCTCTGTGGGTCTATGTGTGGCTCTGTGTCTCTGTGTGTCTCCATATGTCTCTATGCATGTCTGTGTATCTCTATGAGTCTCTGTGTTTTCTCCCCCTCTCTCCCTCCCTCCCCTCCCCCGCCCCAGGCACGAGCCCTCTTCGAGAAGGTCAAAAAGTTCCGTGCGCACGTGGAGTGCAGCGAGAGTGTGCACGCGCTCTACCTGCGGCAGGCGTGGCTGCGTGCGGCGCTGCTGGCGGGCGCGCTGGCGCTCACGCTGGCGTCGGCACGGGGGATCCGCTTCGACGTGGATTGCGCCGTGAGCCTGCGGGAGTTCACCGGCTACCGCGTGTACCGCTGCGCCCACCCCCTAGCTACGCTGTTCAGGGTACGCGGGGGGTGTGTACGTGGGGGGTGGGGTGTGTGGGGGTGTGTGTGTACGTGGGTGGGTGTGTAGGGGTGTGTGTGGGGGTGTGTGTGGGGGGGTGTGTGTACGTGGGGGTGTGTGTAGGGGTGTGTGTGGGGGTGTGTGTGGGGGTGTGTGTGGGGGTGTGTGTACGTGGGTGTGTGTGTGTACGTGGGGGTGTGTGTGGGGGTGTGTGTGTGTACGTGGGGGTGTGTGTGTACGTGGGGGTGCGTGTGGGGGTGTGTGTGGGGGTGTGTGTGGGGGTGCGTGTGGGGGTGTGTGTGTACGTGGGGGTGTGTGTAGGGGTGTGTGTGGGGGTGTGTGTGTACGTGGGGGGGTGTGTGTGGGGGTGGGTGTGGGGGTGTGTGTGGGGGTGTGTGTGGGGGTGTGTGTACGTGGGGGTGTGTGTGTGTACGTGGGGGTGTGTGTGTACGTGGGGGTGCGTGTGTACGTGGGGGTGCGTGTGTGTACGTGGGGGGTGTGTGTGTACGTGGGTGGGTGTGTGTACGTGGGGGTGTGTGTGGGGGTGGGTGTGGGGGTGTGTGTGTACGTGGGGGGGTGTGTGGGGGTGGGTGTGGGGGTGTGTGTGTATGTGGAGGGGTGTGTGGGGGTGGGTGTGGGGGTGTGTGTGTACGTGGGTGGGTGTGTGTGTGTACGTGGGGGTGTGTACGTGGGGGTGCGTGTGTGGTGTGTACGTGGGTGGGTGTGTGTGTGTACGTGGGTGGGTGTGTGTGTGTACGTGGGTGGGTGTGTGTGTGTACGTGGGTGCGTGTGTGTGTGTACGTGGGTGGGTGTGTGTGTGTACGTGGGGGTGCGTGTGTACGTGGGTGGGTGTGTGTGTGTACGTGGGTGCGTGTGTGTGTGTGCGTGGGTGGGTGTGTGTGTGTACGTGGGGGGGTGTGTGTGTGTACGTGGGGGTGTGTGTGTGTACGTGGGTGGGTGTGCGTGTGTACGTGGGGGTGCGTGTGTGTGTACGTGGGGGTGTGTGTGTGTACGTGGTGGGTGTGTGTGGTACGTGGGTGGGTGTGCGTGTGTACGTGGGGGTGCGTGTGTGTGTACGTGGGGGTGTGTGTGTGTGTGTACGTGGGGGGTGTGTGTGTGTGTGTACGTGGGGGTTTGTGTGTTGTGTGTACGTGGGGGTGCGTGTGTACGTGGGGGTGTGTGTGTGTACGTGGGGGTGTGTGTGTGTACGTGGGGGTGTGTGTGTGTGTGTGTACGTGGGGGTGTGTGTGTGTACGTGGGGTGTGCGTGTGTGTGTGTTACGTGGGGGTGTGTGTGTGTACGTGGGGGTGTGTGTGTGTACGTGGGGGTGTGTGTGTGTACGTGGGTGGGTAGGGTGTGTGTGTACGTGGGGGTGTGTGTGGGGGTGGGTGTGGGGGTGTGTGTGTGTAGTGGGGGTGTGTGTGTGTACGTGGGGGTGTGTGTGTGTACGTGGGGGGTGTGTGGGGGGTGGGTGTGGGGGTGTGTGTGTGTACGTGGGGGTGTGTGTGGGGGTGGGTGTGGGGGTGTGTGTGTGTACGTGGGTGGGTGTGTGTGTGTACGTGGGGGTGTGTGTGGGGGTGGGTGTGGGGGTGTGTGTGTACGTGGGGGGGTGTGTGGGGTGGGTGTGGGGGTGAGTGTGTGTACGTGGGTGGGTGGGTGTGTGTGTGTACGTGGGGGTGTGTGTGGGGGTGGGTGTGGGTGTGTGTGTGTACGTGGGGTGTGTGTGGGGTGGGTGTGGGGGTGTGTGTGTACGTGGGGGTGTGTGTGGGGGTGGGTGTGGGGTGTGTGTGTGTACGTGGGTGGGTGGGTGTGTGTGTGTACGTGGGGGTGTGTGTGAGGGTGGGTGTGGGGGTGTACGTGGGGGTGTGTGTGGGGGTGGGTGTGGGGGTGTACGTGGGGGTGTGTGTACGTGGGGGGGTGTGTACGTGGGGTGGCGTGTGTGTATGTGTGTGTGTGTACGTGGGGGGTGTGTGTGTATGTGTGTGTGTGTACGTGGGGGTGTGTATGTGTGTGTGTGTACGTGGGGGTGTGTGTGGGGGTGTGTGTACGTGGGGGTGTGTGTGTGGGTATTTGTGTACGTGTGTGTGTGTGTGTACGTGGGGGTGTGTGTGGGTGTGTGTGTACGTGCGGGAGTGTGTGTGTACGTGGGGGGGTGTGTACGTCGGGGTACGTGTACGTGTGTGTGTACGTGTGTGTGTGTGTGTACGTGGGGGTGTGTGTGTGGGGGTGCGTGGGGGATAAGTGGGGGTGCGTGTGTGTGTTCGTACGTGGGGGTGTGTGTACGTGTGTGTGTGTACGTGTGTGTGTACGTGTGTGTGTACGTGTGTGTACGTGTGTGTGTGTGTACGTGTGTGTGTGTGTACGTGGGGGTGTGTGTACGTGTGTGTACATGTGTGTGTACGTGTGTGTACGTGTGTGTACATGTGTGTGTACGTGTGCGTACGTGTGTGTACGTGTGTGTACATGTACGTACGTGTGTACGTACTTGGGGGGTACGTGTGTGTGTGTGTGTGCGCGTGTGTAGTGGTTGTTGTAGTGGTTGTTGTGGTGGTTGTTGTGGTGGTGGTTGTGGTGGTTGTTGTTATGGTTGTTGTGGTGGTTGTTGTAGTTGTTGTTGCTGTTGTTGTGACGCTGTGTGTAGGTGCTGTGCCTGCTGTACGTGGCCCTGCTGCTGTTCTACGGGGCTGTGTGCGTGTACACGCTGCTGTGGATGGTGGTGATGGTTGTTGTGGTGGTTGTTGTTGTTGTAGTGGTTGTAGTAGTTGTTGTTGTGACGCTGTGTGTAGGTGCTATGCCTGCTGTACGTGGCGCTGCTGCTGTTCTACGGGGCTGTGTGCGTGTACACGCTGCTGTGGATGGTGGTGGTGGTTGTTGTGGTGGTTGTTGTAGTAGTTGTTGCTGCTGTTGTAGTTGTTGTTGTTGTGACGCTGTGTGTAGGTGCTATGCCTGCTGTACGTGGCCCTGCTGTTGTTCTACGGGGCTGTGTGCGTGTACACGCTGCTGTGGATGGTGGTGGTGGTTGTTGTGGTGGTTGTTGTAGTAGTTGTTGCTGCTGTTGTAGTTGTTGTTGTTGTGACGCTGTGTGTAGGTGCTATGCCTGCTGTACGTGGCCCTGCTGTTGTTCTACGGGGCTGTGTGCGTGTACACGCTGCTGTGGATGGTGGTGGTGGTTGTTGTTGTTGTGGTTGTTGTGGTGGTTGTTGTAGTTGTTGTGACGCTGTGTGTAGGTGCTATGCCTGCTGTACGTGGCCCTGCTGTTGTTCTACGGGGCTGTGTGCATGTACACGCTGCTGTGGATGGTGGTGGTGGTTGTTGTGGTGGTTGTTGTAGTAGTTGTTGCTGCTGTTGTAGTTGTTGTTGTTGTGACGCTGTGTGTAGGTGCTATGCCTGCTGTACGTGGCCCTGCTGTTGTTCTACGGGGCTGTGTGCGTGTACACGCTGCTGTGGATGGTGGTGGGACGCTCTCTGAAGCGGTACTCGTTTGAGAACGCACGCGAGGAGAGCGCCTTCAGTGACATCCCGGACGTGAAGAACGACTTTGCTTTCCTGCTCCACCTTATTGACCAGGTGGGGGGGGGGGGGGGGGGGGGTGGGTGGGTGGGGGGGGGGGGTGGGGGGGTGAGTGAGTGGGTGGGTGGGCGAGTGGGTGGGCGGGCGAGTGGGTGAGTGAGTGGATGAGTGAGCGGGTGGGTGAGAACTTTGTGGGTGGGTGGGGTGGATGGGTGGTTGTGAAAGTGGGTGGGTGTGAGAGTGGGTGAGCGAATTAGTAGGTGAGAGAGTAAGGGAGTAGGTGAGTGTTGTTGTTGATGATGTTGTTGTTGATGATGTTGTTGTTGTGGTCTGTCCCAGGTTGACCCCCTGTACTCGAAACGCTTCGCCGTGTTCCTGTCCGAGGTGAGAACAAGATGCACCCCCCACTACCACCCCCCCACCCCCCACCACCACCCACCACCACCCACCACCACCCCCCCACCCCCCACCACCACCCACCACCACCCACCACCCCCCACCACCACCCCCCCACCCCCCACCACCCCCCACCACCACCCCCCCACCACCACCCACCACCACCACCACCCCCCACCACCACCCCCCCACCCCCCACCACCACCCACCACCACCCACCACCACCACCACCCCCCCACCACGTAGTCAACATCTCCTAGCCACCGTGATGATGATGAGAGACACGCAAACTCCAATTATACAGCATCAGCAGGCGTCGTCAGGGTCGAGATGGAACCCACGACCTCCTGTAGACCAGGCGAGGTAGTCAACATCTCCTAGCCACCGTGATGATGATGATGAGAGAGAGACACGCAAACTCCAAATCTACAGCAGCAGCAGCAGGCGTCGTCAGGGTCGGGATGGAACCCACGACCTCCTGCATACCAGACGAGGTAGTTAACATCTCATAGCCACCGTGATGATGATGACGAGGGAGAGAGACACGCAAACTCCAAATATGCAGAAGCAGGCGTCGTCAGGGTCGGGATCGCACCCACGACCTCCTGTAGACCAGGCGAGGTAGTCAACATCTCCTAGCTGCTGCGACGCCCCATATGATGTATCCACCCCCCCACCCCCCCACCACCCCCCACCCCCCCACCCCCCCACCACCCCCCCCCCACCCCCCACCCCCCCCAGGTGAGTGAGAACAAACTGCGTCAGATGAACCTGAACCACGAGTGGACCCCCGACAAGCTGCGGCAGAAGATCGGCCGCTCGGCAAGCGGCGGCCGTGCCGAGCTGCACCTCTTCATGCTCGCAGGCCTGCCGGACGGCGTGTTCGAGGTGAGGTGGTGAGGGTGGTGGTGAGGGTGGTGAGGAGGGTGGTAAGGGTGGTGAGGGTGGTGAGGAGGGTGGTGAGGGTGGTGAGGGTGGTGTGGGTGGTAGTGAGGGTGGTGGTGAGGGTGGTGAGGGTGGTGAGGAGGGTGGTGAGGGTGGTGAGGGTGGTGAGGAGGGTGGTGAGGGTGGTAGTGAGGGTGGTGAGGGTGGTAGTGAGGGTGGTGGTGAGGGTGGTGGTGATGGCAGTGGTGGTGGTGGCAGTGATGGAGGTGATGGCAGTGGTGGCGGTGATGGTGGTGAGGGTGGTGGTGGTGAGGAGGGTGGTGAGGGTCGTGGTGAGGGTGGTGGTCAGGAGGGTGGTGAGGAGGGTGGTGGTGAGGATGGTGAGGGTAGTGGTGAGGGTGGTGAGGAGGATGGTGAGGGTGGTAGTGAGGGTGGTTAGGGTGGTGAGGGTGGTGAGGAGGGTGGTGGTGGTGAGGGTGCTGAGGGTGCCGGTGAGGGTGGTGAGGGTAGTGACGGTGGTGACGGTGGTGACGGTGGTGAGGAGGGTGGTGAGGGTGGTAAGGGTGGTGCTGAGGGTGCTGGTGAGGGTGGTGAGGGTGGTGGTGAGGGTGGTGAGGAGGGTGGTGAGGGTGGTGAGGGTGGTGGTGAGGGTGGTGAGGGTGGTGAGGGTGGTGGTGAGGGTGGTGAGGGTGGTGAGGGTGGTGGTGAGGGTGGTGGTGAGGGTGGTGAGGGTGGTGAGGGTGGTGGTGAGGGTGGTGAGGGTGGTGAGGAGGGTGAGGGTGAGGGTGGTGAGGGTGGTGAGGGTGGTGGTGGTGGTGAGGGTGGTGAGGAGGGTGGTGAGGGTGGTGAGGGTGAGGGTGGTGAGGGTGGTGGTGAGGGTGGTGAGGGTGAGGGTGGTGAGGGTGGTGAGGGTGGCCGTGCCGAGCTGCACCTCTTCATGCTCGCAGGCCTGCCGGACGGCGTGTTCGAGGTGAGGGTGGTGGTGAGGGTGGTGAGGAGGGTGGTGAGGGTGGTGAGGGTGGTGAGGGTGGTGAGGGTGGTGGTGAGGGTGAGGGTGGCCGTGCCGAGCTGCACCTCTTCATGCTCGCAGGCCTGCCGGACGGCGTGTTCGAGGTGAGGGTGGTGAGGGTGGTGGTGGTGGTGAGGGTGGTGAGGAGGGTGGTGAGGGTGGTGAGGGTGAGGGTGGTGAGGGTGGTGGTGAGGGTGGTGAGGGTGAGGGTGGTGAGGGTGGTGAGGGTGGCCGTGCCGAGCTGCACCTCTTCATACTCGCAGGCCTGCCGGACGGCGTGTTCGAGGTGAGGGTGGTGAGGAGGGTGGTGAGGGTGGTGGTGAGGGTGGTGGTGAGGAGGGTGGTGAGGGTGGCCGTGCCGAGCTGCACCTCTTCATGCTCGCAGGCCTGCCGGACGGCGTGTTCGAGGTGAGGGTGGTGAGGAGGGTGGTGAGGGTGGTGAGGAGGGTGGTGAGGGTGGTGAGGGTGGTGAGGGTGGTGAGGGTGGTGGTGGTGAGGGTGGTGAGGGTGGTGAGGGTGGTGAGGGTGGTGAGGGTGGTGGTGAGGGTGGTGAGGAGGGTGGTGAGGGTGGTGAGGGTGGTGAGGAGGGTGGTGAGGGTGGCCGTGCCGAGCTGCACCTCTTCATGCTCGCAGGCCTGCCGGACGGCGTGTTCGAGGTGAGGGTGGTGAGGAGGGTCGTGGTGGTGAGGAAGGTGGTGAGGAGGGTGATGGTGGTGATGGCGGTGGCGGCGGTGGCGGCGGTGGCGGCGGTGATGGTGGTGAGGGTGGTGGTGAGGGTGGTGGTGAGGGTGGTGAGGGTGGTGGTGAGGAGGGTGGTGAGGGTGGCGGCGGTGATGGTGGTGAGGGTGGTGGTGAGGGTGGTGATGGTGGTGAGGGTGGTGAGGGGGGTGTTGAGGGTGGTGACGGTGGTGAGGGTGGTGAGGGTGGTGAGGAGGGTGGTAAGGGTGGTGAGGGGGGTGAGTGGTGGTGAGGGTGGTGGTGAGGGTGGTGGTGGTGGTGAGGGTGGTGAGGGTGGTGAGGGTGGTGAGGGTGGTGGTGGTGAGGGTGGTGGTGGTGAGGGTGGTGTGGGTGGTGAGGAGGGTGGTAGTGAGAGTGGTGGTGAGGAGGGTGAGGGTGAGGGTGGTGGTGAGAGTGGTGAGGATGGTGAGGGTGGTGGTGGTGGTGAGGGTGGTGGTGAGGGTGGTGAGGGTGGTGAGGAGGGTGGTGAGGGTGGTGGTGGTGGTGAGGGTGGTGAGGGTGGTGGTGGTGAGGGTGGTGTGGGTGGTGAGGGTGGTGTGGGTGGTGGGGGTGGTGAGGGTGGTGGTGGTGAGGGTGATGGTGATGATAGTGATGATGGTGATGATGATGGTGATGATGCAGGTGGTGGAGTTGGAGTCGCTGCGTCTGGAGCTGCTGTGCGAGGCCGCGTTGTCCCCGGCGGTGGTGGTGGTGATGATGATGATGATGGTGATGATGATGGTGGTGATGATGATGGTGGTGATGATGGTGGAGCAGGTGGTGGAGTTGGAGTCGCTGCGTCTGGAGCTGCTGTGCGAGGCCGCGTTGTCCCCGGCGGTGGTGATGGTGATGATGGTGGTGATGATGGTGGAGCAGGTGGTGGAGTTGGAGTCGCTGCGTCTGGAGCTGCTGTGCGAGGCCGTGTTGTCCCCGGCGGTGGTGGTGATGATGATGGTGGTGATGATGGTGGAGCAGGTGGTGGAGTTGGAGTCGCTGCGTCTGGAGCTGCTGTGCGAGGGCCGCGTTGTCCCCGGCGGTGGTGGTGGTGATGATGATGGTGGTGATGATGATGGTGGTGATGGTGGAGCAGGTGGTGGAGTTGGAGTCGCTGCGTCTGGAGCTGCTGTGCGAGGCCGCGTTGTCCCCGGCGGTGGTGATGATGATGATGGTGGTGGTGATGGTGGAGCAGGTGGTGGAGTTGGAGTCGCTGCGTCTGGAGCTGCTGTGCGAGGCCGCGTTGTCCCCGGCGGTGGTGATGATGATGATGGTGGTGGTGATGGTGGAGCAGGTGGTGGAGTTGGAGTCGCTGCGTCTGGAGCTGCTGTGCGAGGCCGCGTTGTCCCCGGCGGTGGCGCGACTCGTGAACTTGCGGGAGCTGAGCCTGCTCCACACGCCCACGCGGACCGACCCCTCCGCCCTCGCCTTCCTCGGAGACCGCCTCAAGGTGAGGTCACGGCGGGGTCACGGCGAGGTCACGGTGACGTCACGGGGCGGTCATGGTGAGGTCACGGTGTGGTCACGGTGTGGTCACGGTGAGGTCATGGTGAGGTCACGGTGAGGTCACGGTGCGGTCACGGCGCGGTCACGGTACGGTCACGGTGAGGTCACGGCGGGGTCATGGCGGGGTCACGGCGGGGTCACGGTGGGGTCACGTTGAGGTCACGGCGGGGTCACGTTGAGGTCACGGTGAGGTCACGGTGAGGTCACGGTTTACGGTGTTTATACAGCAGACCCCTTGTCACGAGCGGTGGCCACGTGACCCTCCACCCCTCCCCCTCCACCCCTCCCCCCTCCGCCCCCCCCCCCCCCCCCCCCCCCCCGCCCCCCCCCCCCCAGGTCCTGCATCTGAAGTTTTCAGAGCTGAGCGAGGTGCCCGCCTGGGTCTGGAGTCTCAAGAACCTGGAGGAGCTGCACCTCACGAGCAGCCTGGGGGCAGGAGACCCGTCACAGCAGCGCGTCGGGTGACTCACTCACTCACTCACCCACTCACTTACTCGCCCACCCACTCGCTCACTCGCTCGCTCACCCACTCACTCACCCACTCACTCACTCACTCGCTCACTCACTCACTCACCCACTCACTCACTCACTCACTCTCTCACTCACTCACCCACTCACTCACTCGCTCGCTCGCTCGCTCGCTCACTCACTCACTCGCTCGCTCACTCACTCACTCACCCACTCACTCACTCACTCACTCACTCACCCACTCACTCACTCGCTCGCTCGCTCACTCACTCGCTCGCTCACTCACTCACTCACCCACTCACTCACTCACCCACTCACTCACCCACTCACTCACTCGCTCGCTCACTCACTCACTCACTCGCTCACTCACTCAAGAACCTGGAGGAGCTGCACCTGAGTAGCAGCCTGGGGGCAGGAGACCCGTCACAGCAGCGAGTCGGGTGACTCACTCACTCACCCACTCGCTCACTCACTCGCTCGCTCACACGCTCACCCACTCACCCACCCACCCACTCGCTCGCTCACTCACTCACTCGCTCACTCATACACTTACTCGCTCATTCACTCACTCGCTCACTCGCTCACACACTCACACACTCACTCACTCACACGCTCACCCGCTCACTCAAGAACCTGGAGGAGCTGCACCTGAGTAGCAGCCTGGGGGCAGGAGACCCGTCACAGCAGCGCGTCGGGTGATTCACTCACTCACTCACTCGCTCGCTCGCTCACTCACTCACTCGCTCACTCATACACTCACTCACTCACCCACTCACTCGCTCACTCACTCACTCACTCACTCACCCACTCACTCACTCGCTCACTCATCCACTCACTCACTCACCCACTCACTCACTCACTCACACGCTCACCCGCTCACTCAAGAACCTGGAGGAGCTGCACCTGAGTAGCAGCCTGGGGGCAGGAGACCCGTCACAGCAGCGCGTCGGGTGACTCACTCACTCACTCACCCACTCACTCACTCACCCACTCACCCACTCACTCACACGCTCACCCACTCACTCACTCACTCGCTCACCCACTCACTCACCCACTCACTCACTCACTCGCTCACTCACTCACTCACTCACTCACTCGCTCACTCACTCACTCACCCACTCACCCGCTCACTCAAGAACCTGGAGGAGCTGCACCTGAGTAGTAGCCTGGGGGCAGGAGACCCATCACAGCAGCGAGTCGGGTGACTCACTCACTCACTCGCTCACTCACTCACTCACCCACTCGCTCACTCACTCGCTCACCCACTCGCTCACCCACTCGCTCACCCACTCACTCACCCACTCGCTCACTCACTCACTCACTCGCTCACTCACTCGCTCACTCACTCAAGAACCTGGAGGAGCTGCACCTGAGTAGCAGCCTGGGGGCAGGAGACCCGTCACAGCAGCGAGTCGGGTCAGAGATGTACTCACTCACTCACTCGCTCGCTCGCTCACCCACTCACTCGCTCACTCACTCGGTCGCTCACTCACCCACTCACCCACTCACTCACTCAAGAACCTGGAGGAGCTGCACCTGAGTAGCAGCCTGGGGGCAGGAGACCCGTCACAGCAGCGAGTCGGGTGACTCACTCACTCACCCACCCACTCACCCACCCACTCACTCACCCCCCCACCCACCCACCCCCACCCCCCCCCACCCACAGCCTCGCCACGCTAGACAACCTACGTGGGCTACGTGCGCTGCGCTCGCTCTCGCTGCGCCTGGGGCTGCCGCGGCTGCCGCTGGCGCTAGGGGAGCCGGGGGGCCCGGCGCTGCGCCGCCTCTGCGTGGACAACGAGGGGGCGCCGCTCGCCGTGCCCGCCGCCGCCGGCGCCCTCCGCCGCATGGCCGGCCTCGCGGCGCTGGCGCTGACGCACTGCGAGCTGGAGCGCGTGCCACACGCAGCCTTCACGCTCGCCAAACTGCAGGTCGGTCGGTCGGTCGGTCGATCGCTCGCTCACTCACCCACTCACTCGCTCACCCGCTCACTTACCCACTCACTCACTCGCTCACCCACCCACCCAGCCACCCTCTCACCCACTCACTCGCTCACCCGCTCACTTTCCCACTCACTCACTCACTCGCTCACCCGCTCACTTACCCACTCACTCACTCGCTCACCCGCTCACTTACCCACTCACTCACTAACTCACCCACTAACTCACCCACCCCTCACCCCACCCCCCCCCCCACCCCACCCCCCACACCGCAGGAGCTGGACCTACGTGGCAACAGCCTGCGCTCCATCGACGAGGCGACTGCGCTGGGCCTGCAGCGTCTGCCGCTGCTCACCACGCTGCGTCTGTGGCACAACCGCATCGCGTGCCTGGCGCCCCAGCTGGGGGCGCTGGCGGCGCTGGAGGAGCTCACGCTGGCGCACAACCGCCTGTCCCGCCTGCCCCCCGAGCTGTTCCGCTGCGGGCGGCTGCAGCGGCTGGACGTGTCGCACAACCGCATCGAGGAGTTGCCGCCCCAGGTGGGCCTCCTGCAGAGCCTGCAGTGGCTTAGCGTGGCCGACAACAAGGTGGGTGGGTGTGGTGGGTGGGTGGGTGGGTGGGTGGGTGAGTGAGTGAGTGGGTGGGGGGGTGGGTGGGTGGGTAAGCGGGTGGGTGGGTGAGTTGGTTAGTGAGTGAGTGAGTGTATGGGAGGGTGGGTGAGGGGGTGAGTGGGTGGGTGGGTGGGAGGGTGAGTGGGTGGGAGGGTGAGTGGGTGAGTGAGTGGGTGAGTGAGTGGGTTGGTGGGTGGGTGAGTGGGTGAGTGGGTGAGCGGGTGAGCGGGTGGGTGAGTTGGTTAGTGAGTGAGTGAGTGAGTGGATGGGAGGGTGGGTGAGGGGGTGGGTGGGAAGGTGGGTGGATGGGTGAGTGGGTGAGTTGGTTAGTGAGTGAATGGGAGGGTGGGTGGGTGAGTGGGTGGGTGGGTGAGTGGATGGGAGGGTGGGTAGGGTGGGTGGGTGGGTGGGTGGGTGGGTGGGTGGGCGAGTGAGTGAGTGAGTGGATGATGTGAGCGAGTGGATGGGAGGGTGGGTGGGTGAGTGAGTGGGTGGATGGGAGGGTGGGTGAGGGGGTGGGTGGAAGGGTGGGTGCATGGGTGAGTGGGTGAGTTGGTTAGTGAGTGGATGGGAGGGTGGGTGGGTGGGTGGGTGAGTGGATGGGTGGGTGAGTGGATGGGTGGGTGAGCGGGTGAGTGGGTGGATGAGTGAGTGAGTGGATGAGCGAGTGAGTGAGTGAGCGAGTGGATGAGTCGGTGGGTGAAGTGGTGAGAGGGAGATTGCCCTCCCACCGATGCCTTCGCTCACTCGGCATGACCACCCCCCCACCACCCCCACCCCCCCACCCCCCACCCCCACCCCCCCCCCACCACCCCCACTCCAGCTGGAACAGCTGCCCCCCGAGCTCTTCGACTGCCGCTCTCTGCGCTGTCTGGACGTGTCTCGCAACGCTTTGCCGGCGCTACCCGCCGGCGTCTCCCGCCTGCCGGCGCTACGCCGCCTCGACGTTCGCGGCAACGCGCTGCCGGCGCTGCCCGCCGAGTTGGGCGCCTGCCCCGCGCTGCGGCGGCCGGGGCTGCTGGCCGAGGATCGGCTGTACGAGGCCTTGCCGGGACGCGTGCGGGACCGCCTCGCGGGGCCGCCCGACGGAGATGGTGCCGCCGATGACGACGGTGACGACGGCGGCGATTTCGGCAACACGAACGGCAACAACAACAACAACAGCGCCACCACCACCGCTGCCACCACCAGCGCCAACGGCAACAACAACAACAACAACAGCAACGGCAGCGCCACCACCGCCGCTGCCACCACCAGCGCCAACGGCAATAACAACAACGACGGTGGCGGTGGCGACGCAAACAGCGGCAACACGAACAGCCGCAGTGCCACGACCACCACCGCCACCGCCGCCACCACCGCCACCACCGCCACCACCGCCACCACCGCCACCACCGCCACCACCGCCAACGGCAACACGAACAGCGGCAGAGCCGCTGGTGCCGCTGGAAGGAGCGAGCTTCGTTGGGGCGAGGAGGCGGAGGAGGAGGAGGGGTGGATCGACGGTTGAACGAGCGGCTCGCCCGCCATGGATTCCACACCGACTTTGTGTTCGCGTTGGCAGGTTGTTGTTGTTGTTGTTGCGCTCGCTCGCTCGCTCGCTCGCTCGGTCGGTCGCCAACCACGACAACCGCTTCTGCGGAGGTTGAGGGAGAGTTGGAGAGTTGGGTGGGTGGATGTGTGTGTGGGTGGGTGGGTAGGTGGGTGGGTGGGTGGGTATGTGGGTGGGTGGATGTGTGTGTGGGTGGGTGGGTAGGTGTGTGGGTGGGTGAGTGGGTGAGTGGGTATGTGGGTGGGTGGATGTGTGTGTGGGTGGGTGGGTAGGTGGGTGGGTGGGTGAGTGGGTGGGTGGGTATGTGGGTGGGTGGGTATGTGGGTGGGTGAGTGGGTGTGTGAGTGGGTGTGTGAGTTTGTGAGTGGGTAGGTGGGTATGTGAGTGGGTGGGTGAGTGGGTGAGTGGGTGTGTGAGTTTGTGAGTAGGTGGGTGGGTTGGTGAGTGGGTGTGTGAGTGGGTGTGTGAGTTTGTGAGTAGGTGGGTGGGTTGGTGAGTGGGTGGGTGAGTGAGTGTGTCAGTGAGTGGGTGGGTGAGTGGTTGGGTGAGTGTAAGAGTTGGTGGGTGGGTGCGTGAGTGAGTGTGTCAGTGAGTGTGTGTGTGTGAGCGCGAGTGTGAGACTGTGAGTGAGTGTGTGGTGATGAGTATGAGTAAGTGATGGTGAGTGTGAGAGAGAGTGTATGCGAGTGTGTGTTGAAGTGGGTGTGAGTGAGCATGAGAGTGAGTGGGTGAGTGTGTGGGCGAGTCAGTGTGAGTGACCATGTGTGGGGAGCGGTGGTGCAGCGGTTAGCGTGCTGCACTACGAACCCGGCGACCCGAGTTCGATTCCCGCTCACGGCCAACAACACCAGTGACGATTTCATGAATCGGTTCTGGGCCTCTCCTAGGTCGACTCAGCATCAAATGAGTTACCTGTTGTAGCGGTGTGTAGTAAACATCGCCACTGGGGAGACAAAGGCGGCCGGGCGTGGTGCTGGCCACCCACCCCCTCGTGTGTGTGCCACAGTGTCCCGGCAGCCTTCACAGGTGCTACTCGCTTACAGCACTTGCCCCTACAGTCTGTCGAGGTTATTGCGGGGGGGGTAGTGGGTGAGTTAGTGAGTGGGCTGCTGCTCGCAGCGCTTGCCAATACCCCTACAGCCCCGCGGTTCGAGGCTACACGGGGGACCTTTATCTTTCGTGAGTGTGTGTGGGGCTACAGGGGAGACAAAGGCGGCCCTGTGTGCTACAGTGACGGCCTAAGTTGGTAATTCTGCTGCTGCTGCTGCCACACCAACGGCACTTGCCACAACCCCTACAAGCCCTGGTTCTCGAAGCTTCGTGAAGGACCCCTTTGTATTTTCTGTGGCTACTGGGGAGACAAAGGCGGCCGTGCGTGGTGTGTACCCACAGCGGCGACCTCACCGCACGTGACACAAAGCCTCATCAGAGGTTGGTTTACGGACTCTTTTCTTGATTTAAACATCGAACGTGTCTGTCGAGTTTGTGTGTTGTTACATTTGTTGTTCTAATTCTGCACTTACCGTTGTTGTTGTTGCTGTTGCTGTTCTTTAACATGCTAAAAAAAAAACTAAAAACAATGAAAGCGGAAGCCGAGGAGACGTTTTTTTGTCGTTTGTGCGGTGGATTTTAAAGATTTCTGGGAAAACTCGAGCGAAGGTCACGTGGTCGGTGACGTCACAGCACGTGGTGAGGTCACGCGCCGCCTGGCGGCCAGAGGTGGTGGTGATGTCAATCGGCTCGATTGTGACGATGATGTTGTTGTTGATGTTGTTGATGTTGTTGATGATGGTGATGTTGATGTTGTTGATTATGGTGATGATGTTGATGATGTTGATGATGTTGATGATGATGATGTTGATGATGTTGATGATGTTGATGATGTTGATGATGTTGATGATGTTGATGATGATAATGATGATGATGATAATGATGATGATGTTGATGATGATGATGTTGATGACATTATTGTTGATGTTGATTTATGTTGATGATGTTGATAATGATGATGTTGATAATGATGTTGTTGATGATTGTGATGTTGTTGATGACGTCATTATCGTTGATGTTGAATTATGTTGTTGATGGCGATGATGTTGATAATGTTACTGATGTTGTTGCTGATGGTGACGATTGATGACGTTATTATTGTTGATGTGGAATTACGTTGTTGATGGTGATGATGTTGATAAGGATTATGTTGATAATGATGTTGCTAATTTTTGTTGTTGATGGTGATGATGTTGATTGTTGTTGATGACGTTATTATTGTTGATGTTGAATTATGTTGTTGATGGTGATGATGTTGATTATGATGTTGATAATGATGATGTTGATAACGTTGATTGTGAGGACGTTGATGTTGACGATGTGGCGTAGGTCAATGCATAAACATCGCCACGGAGGACTGTAGAACCATCCTGAACACCTCCTCTGTCAGCCAGGGTCTCTGGGGAGGTCTGGACCGCGTACCCAAAGCAGCCATTGCAGCTGCATGAGTCACAGTCCCAAACCTCGCCCATTTACCCTCGACATCAGGAGGAGTGGGGGACGATGTCAACCCCAGCTGCAAGCGATGATGACATTCTCGCTTGCAACTTTCATCAGCTAGCTGAGACCAGGACACTTTAGGTTTGAATGGGGTCCTGGGTGTACACCCACCACCGGAGTGGGAGAATGGCAGGCGCATCTTACAGATGACAAGTCGATGGTCAGTGGGCTGATCAGCTCCACGGTAGGTCCTGGTGTCAAGGACATCGGCTCGCATCCGCTGTTCCATCACTACGTAGTCCAGCAGATGTTCTTGCTTGGACCCGGCATGCATCCATGATGTTGTGTGGATGTGCCGATGCCGGAACAGCGTGTTGGTAATTACAAGCCCATGGGCTGCACAAAAATCTAGCAGCCTCCTACACCGTTATTGAGCTGATCTGGCCCATGCCTTCCAATCACTCCAGACCAGAGAGTTCGACACAGAGACACGCACACTCACTCACCCACCCACCCACTCACCCACCCACCCACTCACCCACCCACCCACCCACCCACTCACCCAGCCACCCACTCACCCAGCCACCCACTCACCCAGCCACCCACTCACCCAGCCACCCACTCACCCACCCACCCACCCACTCACCCACCCACCCACTCACCCACCCACTCACCCACCCACTCACCCACCCACCCACTCACCCACCCACTCACCCACCCACCCACTCACTCACCCACCCACCCACTCACCCACCCACCCACTCACCCACCCACCCACTCACTCACCCACCCACCCACACCGTTATTGAGCTGATCTGGCCCATGCCCTCCAATCACTCCAGACCAGAGAGTTTGACACGGAGACACGCACACACAAACGTCATGCCAGGTTTATTGAAGAAACCAAAAATCCCGCTACACGAAATCGGTGCGGTCGGTCTGACGGCCCGAACGGTGAAAAAAAGTGGCAGTCGATACCATCCCCCAGAACAGATAAACATCATCACCTTCATTACACCACATACAGCTCATCATCACCATCATTACACCACATACAGCTCACCACCATCATCACCACCATCACCACCATCTTCACCACCACCATCATCACCTTCATTACACCACATACAGCTCACCATCATCACCACCATCACCACCACCACCATCATCACCTTCATTACACCACATACAGCTCACCATCATCATCATCACCTTCATTACACCACATACAGCTCACCATCATCATCACCACCATCATCACCACCACCATCACCACCACATACACCTCACCATCATCACCACCACCATCACCACCACCATCACCACCACATACACCTCACCATCATCACCACCACCATCACCACCACCATCATCACCTTCATTACACCACATACAGCTCACCATCATCATCACCACCATCACCACCACCATCACCACCACCATCATCACCTTCATTACACCACATACACCTCACCATCATCATCACCACCATCATCACCACCACATACACCTCACCATCATCACCACCATCATCACCACCACCACCACCATCATCACCACCACCATCATCATCACCACCATCATCACCTTCATTACACCACATACACCTCACCACCATCATCACCACCATCACCACCACCATCATCACCTTCATTACACCACATACAGCTCACCACCATCATCACCACCACCATCACCACCACATACACCTCACCATCATCACCACCACCATCACCACCACCATCATCACCACCACCATCATCATCACCACCATCATCATCATCACCACCATCATCACCTTCATTACACCACATACACCTCACCACCATCATCACCACCATCACCACCACCATCACCACCACCATCATCACCACCACCATCATCATCACCTTCATTACACCACATACAGCTCACCATCACCACCATCATCACCACCATCACCACAAGGGGGGCGTGGCCAGTGTGACCACGCCCCCCCCTCCAAGCCCCGCCCACTTTAACTGGGTAGCTCCGCCCACTCTGCACCCCGCCCCACGCCAGGCTCGCAACGACCAATCGCAGCTGCTGTGCGTCATCACGTGACGCCGATGGGAGGTGCCCGAGGCGATAATACATCTTGCCACGGTGGTGTTGATTGGGCGAGTGGGATTGTGCGTGTGTGCGCGTGTGTGTGTGCGTGTTGGACTTCTTTCACGCTGTACGGAGGTGGAATTTGGGTGGGATTTGGTGGGTGGATGAATGGGTGGGTGGCTGAGTGAGTGAGTGGGTGGGTGAGTGAGTGGGTGGGTGGGTGGGTGGGTGGATGAGTGGGTGGGTGGGTGGATGAGTGGGTGGGTGGGTGGATGAGTGGGTGGGTGGGTGGATGTGTGGGTGGGTGGGTGGATGAGTGGGTGGGTGGGTGGATGAGTGGGTGGGTGGGTGGATGAGTGGGTGGGTGGATGAGTGGGTGGGTGGGTGGATGAGTGGGTGGGTGGGTGGATGAGTGGGTGGGTGGATGAGTGGGTGGGTGAGTGAGTGAGTGGGTGAGTGAGTGGGTGGGTGGGTGAGTGAGTGGGTGGGTGGGTGAGTGGGTGGGTGGATGAGTGGGTGGGTGGGTGGATGAGTGGGTGGGTGGGTGGATGAGTGGGTGGGTGGGTGGATGAGTGGGTGGGTGGGTGGATGAGTGGGTGGGTGGCTGAGTGAGTGGGTGGGTGAGTGATTGAGTGGGTGAGTGAGTGGGTGGGTGAGTGAGTGGGTGGGTGGATGAGTGGGTGGGTGGATGAGTGGGTGGATGAGTGGGTGGGTGGGTGAGTGGGTGGATGGATGAGTGGATGAGTAGATGGGTGGGTGAGTGGGTGAGCGAGTGGGTGGGTGAGCGAGTGGGTGAGTGAGTGACGGATCATCCAATTCCGGTTCAGTGATTCTGCACTTGCTCTATTGCTATAGTACTACACCGCCTTCAAGTTTTACAAACGACCCGGTGTTTAAAGGGAAGCCATTTGTCCTATTATCTGGCCGTATAGCAAATGAAAAAATACGATATGATTACGCGAGTTAGAAATGTTTGTTTTTAATATTTACGTGACAGCTTCATCCGGCACCAAGTGGGTGGGTGGTGGTGGTGGTGGGGGGGTGAGTGGGTGGGTGAGTGGGAGTGGGTGGATAGGTGGGTGGGTGGGAGGTTCCGAGGAGAGGTGAGAGGGAGATTGGGTGGATGGGTGGTGGGGGGAGGTGAGTGGGAGTGGGTGGGTGGTGGTGAGGGGTGAGTGGGTGGGTGGGTAGTGGTGGTGGGGGGTGTGATTGAGAGTGGGTGGGTGGTGGTGGTGGGGGGTGAGTGGGTGGATAGGTGGGTGGGTGGTGGTGGTGGGGGGGTGAGTGGGAGTGGGTGGGTGGTGGTGGTGTGGGGTGAGTGGGTGGTGGTTGTGGGGGGGGTGAGTGGGTGGTGAGTGGGTGGGTGGGTGAGTGGGTGGTTGTGGGGGGGTGCGTGGGTGGGGGGGTGAGTGGGTGGGTGGTTGTGGGGGGGTGAGTGGGTGGTGGGGGGGTGAGTGGGAGTGGGTGGATAGGTGGGTGGTGGTGGGGGGGTGAGTGGGTGGTGGGAGTGGGTGGATAGGTGGGTTGTGGTGGTGGTAGTGGGGGAGTGAGTGGGTGGTGGTGGTGGGTGGGTGGTGGGGGGGTGAGTGGGAGTGGGTGGTGGTGGTGGGTGGGTGGTGGGGGGGTGAGTGGGAGTGGGTGGATAGGTGGGTGGTGGTGGGGGGGTGAGTGGGTGAGTATTATCAGCTGGCTGGTGATACTAGAGTGAGTCGTGTTGTATCACGAGTGACGCTGTATGTGAGTGAGCGAGTGAGCGAGCGAGCGAGTAGATGCGCTTGCGAGTGAGTGAGTGAGCGAGTGTGAGTGAGCCAGCGTGAGTGAGCGAGCGAGTAAGTGAGTGAGCGAGCGAGCGAATAAGTGAGCGAGTGAGCGAGTTGGTACGCCCGGCCATCCTCCACCACCTCCACCACCACCTCCACCACCTCCACCACCTCCACCACCTCCACCCCGAGGCGGCTAAGACTGCTGATGCTCTTCACACAACTCGATCACTTTCCTGCGGCACACACAACGCAACAGCCAGCGCATCAGCATCGGCAACCGCCGCCCCCGGCAACCGCCGCCCCCGGCAACCGCCGCCCCCGGCAACCGCCGCCCCCGGCAACTGCCGGTGTGTGTGGTGTGGTGTGATCGTGGTGTAGGTGTGGTGTGGTGTGACATGGTGTGTGTGGTGTGTGTGGTGTGATCGTGGTGTGTGTGGTGTGTGTGTGTGTGGTGTGACGTGGTGTGTGTGTAGTGTGACATGGTGTGTGTGTGTGGTGTGTGAGTGTGGTGTGTGAGTGTGGTGTGTGTGTGGTGTGTGAGTGTGGTGTGGTGTGTGTGGTGTGGTGTGTGTGTGGTGTGTGTGGTGTGGTGTGACATGGTGTGGCCTGCCCCTGCGACCCACCTCGCCTTCTCCTTGGTGTCGGCGTGTGTGGTGTGGCTACCCAGCATGCCTTGCAGCAGCTGTGGGCCGTTCTCGGCGATCAGCAGCGGACAGTACTTGTCAGCTGTGGACAGAGCGTGGAGCCGGAGACACGTCGTCATCGTCGTCGTCATCGTCGTCATCGTCATCATCGTCATCGTCGTCATCGTCGTCGTTGTCGTCATCGTCATCGTCGTCATCGTCATCATCGTCATCATCGTCATCATCGTCATCATCGTCGTCATCATCGTCATCATCGTCATCATCATCATCATGGTCATCATCATCGTCATCGTCATCATCGTCGTCATCGTCGTCATCATCGTCATCGTTATCATCATCATCATCATGGTCATCATCATCATCATCGTCATCATCGTCGTCATCATCGTCATCGTCATCGTCATCGTCGCCATCATCGTCATCATCTTCATCATCATCGTCGTCATCATCGTCATCATCATCGTCATCATCATCATCATGGTCATCATCATCGTCGTCATCATCATCGTCATCATCTTCATCATCATCTTCATCATCATCGTCGTCATCATCATCGTCATCATCATCGTCGTCATCATCATCATCATCATCGTCGTCATCATCATCGTCATCATCATCATCATGGTCATCATCATCGTCGTCATCATCATCGTCATCATCGTCATCATCATCATCATCATCTTCATCGTCATCATCATCGTCGTCATCATCATCATCATCGTCATCATCGTCATCATCGTCGTCATCATCATCATCATGGTCATCATCGTCATCATCGTCGTCATCATCGTCATCATCGTCATCATCGTCGTCATCATCGTCATCATCGTCATCATCATCATCATGGTCATCATCATCGTCATCGTCATCATCGTCGTCATCGTCGTCATCATCGTCATCGTCATCATCATCATCATCATGGTCATCATCATCATCATCGTCGTCATCATCGTCGTCATCATCGTCATCATCGTCATCATCGTCATCATCGTCGTCATCATCGTCGTCATCATCGTCATCATCATCGTCATCATCATCATCATGGTCATCATCATCGTCGTCATCATCATCGTCATCATCGTCATCATCTTCATCATCATCGTCGTCATCATCGTCGTCATCATCGTCGTCATCATCGTGGTCATCATCATCATCATGGTCATCATCGTCGTCATCATCGTCATCATCGTCGTCATCATCATGGTCATCATCGTCATCATCGTCATCATCGTCATCATCGTCGTCATCATCGTCATCATCGTCATCATCATCATCATGGTCATCGTCATCGTCATCATCGTCGTCATCGTCGTCATCATCGTCATCATCATCATCGTCATCATCGTCGTCATCATCGTCATCGTCATCGTCATCATCGTCATCATCGTCATCATCTTCATCACCATCGTCGTCATCATCGTCATCATCATCGTCATCATCATCATCATGGTCATCATCATCGTCGTCATCATCATCGTCATCATGGTCATCATCGTCATCATCGTCATCATCGTCGTCATCATCGTCATCATCATCGTCATCATCATCATCATCGTCATCATCTTCATCATCATCGTCGTCATCATCGTCGTCATCATCATCATCATGGTCATTATCATCGTCATCATCGTCGTCATCATCGTCATTATCATCGTCATCATCGTCATCATCATCATCATGGTCATCATCGTCATCATCGTCATCATCGTCGTCATCATCGTCATCATCGTCATCATCATCATCATGGTCATCATCATCGTCATCGTCATCATCGTCGTCATCGTCGTCATCATCGTCATCGTCATCATCATCATGGTCATCATCATCATCATCATCGTCATCATCGTCGTCATCATCGTCATCGTCATCATCGTCATCATCGTCATCATCTTCATCATCATCGTCGTCATCATCGTCATCATCATCGTCGTCATCATCGTCGTCATCATCATCGTCATCATCGTCATCATCATCGTCATCATCATCATCATGTCATCATCATCGTCGTCATCATCGTCGTCATCATCGTCGTCATCATCATCATCGTCGTCATCATCATCATCATGGTCATCGTCGTCATCATCGTCATCATCGTCGTCATCGTCGTCATCATCCGTCATCATGGTCATCATCATCATCATGGTCATGGTCATGGTCATGGTCATCGTCATCGTCATCGTCATCGTCATCATCATCGTCTCATCGTCGTCATCATCATCGTCGTCATCGCCGCGTCAGTGAACACTCGCGGTAGACTGTGATGAGGTTTAGAGGAGGGAGCGAGTGAGCGGGTGAATGAGCGGGATGAGTGAATGAGTGAGTGAATGAGCGAGTGAATAGCGGATGAGTGAGTGAATGGGAGTGAATGAGCTGAGTGAATGACGCGGATGAGTGAATGAGTGAGTGAATGAGCGAGTGAATGAGCGGATGAGTGAGGGAATGAGTGAGTGAATGAGCGAGTGAATGAGCGGATAGTGAATGAAGTGAGTGAATTAGCGATTAGGCGATTGATGAGCGGATGAGGAGATGGAGTGGATGAAGTGGGAGTGAAGAGCGTATGAGTGATGAGAATGTGAATGAGTGAGTGAATGAGCGAGTGAATGAGCGAGTGAATGAGCGGATGAGTGAATGAGTGAGTGAATGAGTGAGTGAATGAGCGAGTGAATGAGCGGATGAGTGAATGAGTGTGAATGAGTGAGTGAATGAGCGAGTGAATGAGCGGATGAGTGAATGAGTGAGTGAATGAGTGAGTGAATGAGCGAGTGAATGAGCGGATGAGTGAATGAGTGAGTGAATGA